TGAAAATCTCACTCAGATCCACATGCTTAGCAAGACAAGCACTTTACTGCAAAATTGTCCTATCCTTTGTCTTTTACCCTGCCAACCAGTACTGGTTTTAGCATAAGAATCACTTAATGTTAATTTAAATTAACATAATGCAGAGGACTCCAGACTAAGCAGACAGCTAGCCTTTATTTTAGATTCAGGTTAACACCAGACCAATTTTAAGAACAGGAAAAGAATAAAGTGGAACTCTGTAAAGGGAATTTTTAAAAATAAGATTCATTAAGCGATTTGGAGAATGGTTCTTACTTAACTTGAAACAGGATTGGATTCTGACTACCTAGAAGTCAGAGTCCTCAGACCTGAGCTCACCAACAGGAAGAAACTCCAGAAGCACACATGCTGGGTGTATGCCTAGACCTCAATTTAGGAGTCACAGTTAGGAATATTTTATATGTATTTTGAGATAGGTCTCACTATCCAAGGCTGGCCTTAAATTCACCATACATGACTTTGAACTCCTGATCCTCCTGCCTCCGCCCCGAGTGCTGGGATTACTGGTGTGTACCACTTCATTTGTTGTATGTAGGCTAGGAATGGAACCCAGGGCTTCATATGTGCCAGGCAAGCACTCTACCAACTGAGATGAAACCCCAGTCCCATGATTTAATAATGATAGACAAAAGAATCAAATGTCATCTTTTCACTGGAGTATCTCCTTGCCTTTCTTTTTTATTTTAACCATTCATATTTACTTAGGAAAGTAAGATTGTTTAAGGAAGCAGCACCCAGGTTTAGAGTAATTTATATGTGGAAAAAATACAAAATTTCTTGATACATCTTTAATACACAAATACATATACAAACATTTTATCCTAATAATATTCTTTATCACTTCAATTTAAACCATTCCATTATGAAAATTTAATTGAAGACAGAATATTTCTTTAAAACTCTAAATTAAACAGAGCTTTCTTAACTAATTTATAGCCACACAGCCTTTAGAAATATATGATTTTCCAGTTTATAATTCTTTCCCTGTACAACTGTTACAGCTTGTCACATTTTTTAAGATACAAGGCACCAAACACCAGGAAGAGATCACACAGTGAGTGCACTCAGACCAGATCTTTGCTCAAATATTTGTCCTCTAAAGCCCCACCATCTCTGCATGAACATACTTGTTCCATTAACTAACATTTCTTCTGTGTGGTTATTTTGCAATCTACAAAACTCGAAAATAGAATCTGCACCCACAGCAGGCAACGCCTGAGAATGCTCATCTACTCACTCAGGTGATTTCTCGGAGAGAGTATTACTCAGTCTGAACAAGCATGTTTAAGAGTCCCAGAAAGATTTTGTTCCTTGATTAGTTCCAGTGATTTCATCAACAGAACTGATACGTAAGGCGGTTTGGTCCTTTGGAGCAACTGGACTGCACAAAACCTACATGGAACATCCTTCATTTTGAAAATGAAGAAAGCAGACATGAGGAAAATGTATTTAGAGTTTCAAAGAACTGAAACTGGTATTGTTCAGACTAGGCACTGAAACACTTCTACAAGGAGCTTGCCAGATTGTCTCTTCACTGTAGAATGTTCCATTACACTAAAAACAAAAGGATACAGAAAATGGTTATTTATCATTTACATCATTTTACTTTTCTACAGCAAAAAGTCTGAGAAACAAATTATCTTAATGTTGAAATACCCATCATACATGATACATATATTTAGTAACTAGATACTTGATCTTGAGTTGAGAAGAATTTAGGACAGGATAGCAAGATAGTTGCTTACCACTGAGTCTGATGACTTGAGTTCAAATACTGGAACCCACATGTGGAAGGAGACCCAAGTCCCTCAAGTTAGGCTCTAACCTCCACATACATGCTGTGACAGTGAACATGTCTTATATGTGTATATGTATACACACAAACATGCATCAAGTAAATAAACATTACAAAATAAGGAACTCAGGACAAGTTTCATGGCATCAGCAGGTCTAACATCAACACTACTTAAGTACTTTATGCCAGCATTTAGTTTTATTCTTGGCATAGTCTACTGTTACCCCTATAGTGACAAAGCTTCCACTCAGCCTGTTCTAGTTTATGCTCCTTGATGGTGCCCCACCTTCTCTAGTCTTCACTATCTCAACTTTCTATGATGGGAGATGTCCTTTTGTGTGTGTGTGTGTGTGTGTGTGTGTGTGTGTGTGTGTGTGTGTGTATATACACACACACTTATCAGTTGATGAATAAAACATGGATTAGCCGGTAGGTGGGGCTATCAGACAAGGAGAAGACTGGGGAGAGGAAGGTAGAGAGAGGCCTCAAAGAGATGCCATGCTGCTGAAGGAGTAACATGCCAGATTATGGGTAAGCCACAGCCTTGTGACAATACAGATTAATAGAAATGGGTTAATAATTAAGACAGAGCTTGCCAATAAAATGCCTGAGCCATAAGCCAAACATTTTATACTTAATATAAGTCTTTGTGTGTTTATTGGGGCAAAGTGGCTGTGGGACCGGGCGGGACAAAAACCTCCATCTTCAATGGCACCCACAGTGAGGCTTGAACCCATGATCCTGGGATTAAGAGTCCCAAACTCTCCCAACTGAGCCCTCTAGCTCTGGCTTTTCCAACCAATGAAACATAGCCTGGTGGGAGTGGGGTGGGGTTGGATGTAAGGAACAGTCCATGGAAAGATAACCCATAAAAATGTGATAGATAGACACCACCTTCACAGTTGTTTATATGTTAAAGATTTCATTTCTATTTGTATGTCTATCTGTGGCTGTAAACACATGAATGTAGTGCCTGAGGAGAACAGAAAGGTCATGGGATCCCCTGCAGTTGGAGTTAGAGGCAGTAGTGAGCTACCTGGTATGTATGTTAGGAACCAAGTTCAGCTCCTATGTAAGAGCCCAAGCTCTCTTAGCACTGAGCCATCTCTCCAGCCCCATTATTTTTAATTTGAAGATGGCATACCTATCTCACAATCCTCACCTAAAAGACAACAGACCATGAAGGCTATTTTTCCTTAGAAGGAATAAACTATGTGAACAAAGAGAACAACCAATCAACTTTTGGGTGGCCTGAAGAAATACAACTAAGTGCTTCAGTCAGAAAGGGTGAGGAAGGAATGGAAAGTAGGAATCTGGTATATATCAAATAGAAGGTCAGTTATGCAGTCAGATAGCTTTCCTGTGTTTTATATGAAAAAAAAATCTTCAAAGTTTGTTCTCTAAACGCTGTAGCAAGAGAAATGCTATAGAAAATATCAGGAAAAATGTTAATGAGGTAGCCATCTCTTACTTAGTCATAAAAATATAAATACAGAATACAGAGCTATCCAAAGTTATGCAGCAACTACACAGAAGTAGTGGGAAATTTGTTCTGTTGTTTTCTGTTTGTTTTGTTTTTAAGACATAGTCTCATGTAGCCCAGGCTGGCCTCAAACTCACTATTTGGTGGAGAATGACCTTGATCTCTACTTCCCAAATGCTGGGTTTACATCATGTGTCATCATGTCCCACCAGATGATGGAGAGGCCAGAATGATATGGAATCAGGAGGCGAGTGTGTGGTGTGGGAGTGGAGATACTCATCTACCTTGGTGGAAATGTTGTCAAGTGTAGATGCCTAAAGCTAGACAGCAAAGCAACAGAGACACGAGCATGATCTGGAAAGAGATGGGCAAGTCCAAGAAAATCAGCTATGACTGGGGGTTATAGGCAGTTAACATTTGGCTCCACCCCTTCCTAAGGAACTATGGGAAATTAATGGCTCCTGAGAAAAGGACAGATGTTTTCTTCAGATTGCCCATGTTCTTATAAAAATAATCCCTCACACATGTTCTTGCAAGGAAACAGAAGTTCTCTCTCTCTCTCTCTCTCTCTCT